AGCGGACGTGCCTGGGTTTGAAGCATTGCATGTCGCAAGAGCCCGGCGCACATGATGGGAAAACGCTTGGCATGCGTTTTCTACCAGACCTTTCTCAAACTCTCGTCAAACCTTCATTCATTAAACTTGTGTAAGACTTCATAATGCTTCTTGCAAGCTCATAAACCTAGGGGTCAAAACAGCCCAAAAGCCTTATAGTATGGTCGTTGGTCCCAAACGCCTTAATATATGAGTCCTTAGATCCCTAAAGCAGTTCGATTACCGTCGGTGCTCGAAGCCCAGGCACTCCAATATCCCTTATTGAGGAATATTCCTTAAATCTTTTTGGGGATCCTATTATAATTTAAGGTATATTCCTTAATTAAGGGATATTGGAGTCTCTGGGAGGTGCAGCCCCTGTTACCGCTGTTGCGCGGCCGTGAGGTGGGTGGCCCGGCCAAGCGGGGCGGGTGGTTCTACTTGGGGTCTGGGGGAGTTAGTACGTAGTTAGTAAGTAGACATAAGTACCTTAAAAGGGACCCTAGTTGGGGTTATGGTATTTATAAGTCCCTAAAATAACCAGTTGCTAAGTCCACCGAGCCTCCAAGTAGGGCCCCAAAGAAGCACATAAACAAAAATTAGGATGGGGATGTCCCATATAAACCCCTTTTAAGAGGAAGCCCATAAGGTAGGGATGTCCCCACAAAATGCTAAAGTTTGTGTGCCTTTTTGGGTCCCTAGGTTCTCATAATGCTCAGGAAGCTGTTAAGTCAACTGCGGCGGATCTCGCGATTAGGGTTTATCTTGGGGTCTGCATAGTAAGGGTAATGTAGGAACCTGATTAAGAAACCCTGGGCCTGTGACCCCTAATATAGAAGGATTCAGACCAGGAGCCCTAGTAAAGGCCCAAGGTTTCTTAATCAGGTTCCTGCATTACTAAACCCTGAACTCTAAACCTGAAACCCTACACTCTGAACCCCAGAACACTGGAACTCGAAACCCAGTAAGGGTACCGCTCATTAAACCCTCTCAGCCTTTACAGTACCCCCAAACCCTAAGCCCTAAGCCCTATAAGCCCCAAAACCTAATGCTTAAGTCCTAATGCATGGATGCATGCATGTACACACGTATACTTATATCTACATGTATATCCTTATCTGTTCTTATATACATACATATGTAAGTATGCAAGGGATGTGGCGAGAGATCATGTATGTCCTAGACGAGACTGAGCTTCATGCCCGAAGCTCTAAAGCGGGACGTTAAGACGCCCACCCTAAACCTTGCCTACTACCCGAAACCCAAGAAAAAACCCTGCAACCAATCATCCATCTCAAGCTTGCCCTAAACTCTAGACGCGAAACTTTTGGTCCGAAACGCCTTTACCCGCCCGATGCCCAGAAGGTTCACCCCCGAAAACTCCTGGACTCCTGAACGTCTGGGGACACAGCCAGATGTTCTCCACGCAGTACTTTACGTTTGATGAGCATTTGGGACTTAGGAGTTTCCGAAAATAGGGGACTCTAATATAGTACCCGAAGAAGCAGGACGCTTACTATGAAGACACCAAAATAAGAGATACCTTTTATTTTCGGAAACTCCCATTTATTTAGAGGTTTTTGGGGTTTTGGGGTTGCGGGATGTCGAGGTTGGCCCTGAGCCTCAAACCCAACCTGTCTGACGTTACATTAGGGACCCAAAAAGCACACAAACATAAGCATTTTATGGGGATATCCATACCTTATTGGATTTCGTTATAAGGGGGTTTATATGAGATATCTCTACCCTATTCTTTGCTTATGTGCTTTTTTGGGGCCGTATAGAAGGCATCCGGTATCCCAGTCACCGATCCAGCTCCTAACGCAGGAGCCTGATTAAGAAACCCTGGGCCTATAACCCCTAAACTGATAGGATTCATATCGTGAACCCCGATAAAGGCCCATAATTTCTTAATCAGGTTCTTACATTACTAAACCCTGAGCCCTAATTAAACCTTAAACCCTAAACCCTGAACTCTAGAACACTGGAACTCGAAACCCAGTAAGGGTACCGCTTAATCAGGTTCCTACACTATCCCATTCACTCCATTCACCGATCCAGCTCATCGACCGGTAGACCACGAAGGAATGAACTACGGTTGATGACACAAAATCCTGCATTACCCATAATAGGGAACATACCATTTTTCCCATAGTTTAGGGTCCTTAAGGTCAGGCAGGATTTATATCATCAACCGTAGGCAGTTCTTGAAGCTCGCGCTTACTTTCGGCAAGAGATATGGGAGTTTCAGAAAATCAGGGTAGCTCATTTCGGGGCACTATATTAAGGTCCCCTGTTTTCGGAAACTCCCATATTCCTAAGTATGAGGACGGAAGAATGAGCTCTTGGGGGCCTCCAAAAGGTGCCAAGGGACTCTGACACGTAACCCTGAAGCCTATTTAGAGGTTCATGGTACTTAGTAACTAGGTTCGCTCCGCACAAGGATCTATACGGTTCCTTAAAGGAATCTATAGGGTTTAGGGTTTAGGGTCTACTGCGAGGTTCATGGTACTTAGTAGCTAGGGTTATAAGTAAGGTAACTATACTTTTAATTGGTTAAATCCCCAGTTAAGGTACTTTAAGGTACTTATACCTGTACTTACTAAGTCGCATGGGCCTCCAAGTAACCTCTAACCTTTCCAGAACCGTGTAGAATCCTACGCAGCCCTTGTAGAACCTCTACAGAACCGAGAGGGTCCAAGCACCCGAATAGTAGGGCTCTGGGTTCAATCATGCAACTATACTATGACTTAAAACCCTACTATATATGGGTGCTCGGACTCTCTGTGAAGTCCTTTTCCAGTCAAGATACAACCTTCATACAAGCCAAAACTAACAACAAACCGAAACCCGCAACCCTATACCATTCATCCCGTAAGCCCGAAACACTTAAACCCTAAGCCCCTAAAACCTACACCAAAGCCCCAAACCTTAAGTCACAGCAGGTCACCGGCTCCGCATGGGGCCAGGTGAGAGCAACTCTGAGATGCTAAGGTTTACGGCTTCGGGTTTTGGGGTTCAGGGTTTAGGGGTTTTAGGGGTTTAGGGTTTAGGGATTTTAGGGGTTTAGGTTTTAGGGGTTTAGGGTTCACGGGTTTAGGGCTTAGGGGTCCAGAGTTGAAGGTTCAAGGTTCGGATACCCTAGACTCCTAGAGTGTCACTGCAGCTTGATCTTGGGCGAGATTTCGCACCCAGAGAGCCAAAAAACAAGAGACTCCAAAACCCCGAAGGAAACAGTATGCTTGAAAGTCTGTTACAGGGATCCTCAATATGTCAATTAACACGCTTCAAGGATGTGCAAGGCGTTGTCCACAATTGTTCGTTTTGGGAGTCTCTGGATACCCCTTCGTTGGGAAGGAGCGTGATTGAAGCGCGGTTGTTTAAAGGGGTTTCTTATGTGAGTGTAATTTTACGGACATCTCTACAGTGCGATTACACACATGTAAAGGCTCCTGTTCTATCTGAAAGATACGCAGGTATTCGTTGTTTTAAGGGGTACCCGTGGCTCTCTGGACACATCACTGGAGATCTGAATGGCGGCGGCACCATGGCAGACGTGACAGACTCGGAAAAAAAAACAGCAGCGAAGACGTCTTTCGGGCTTGAGATTCGGGATGGCACCCTAAACCCTAAACCCTAAACCCTAAACCCTAAACCCTAAACCCTAAACCCTAAACCCTAAACCCTAAACCCTAAACCCTAAACCCTAAACCCTTGAGGCCTTGGGGTTTGAGGGCTTAGGGCTCTCGGGTATTTTAAGAGTCTGGGGGGGCTTCAGGGGTTTGGTTTTGGGTTTAGGAGCTGAGGGTAGGCGGTTCAGAGTTCGGGGTGAGTTCAGAGCTCCGGACCTTGGGGTTTACTGTTTAGGCTTAAGGGTTTCGGGTTCATGGTGTCTTGGGTTGAGGCCAAAGTCTGCAGCAAGCGGGAGGACTGAGTTATAGTGACGGTTGGTGGCGAGAACTTCACGGCGTGTTTCAAGAGCAGCAAGCTGAGCCGCCGCCTGAGAATCAATACTTTCCGACAGCAGTCATAGGGCCATCGTGGCTAAGTCTTACCTTTGGTTAGTAGGGAACGGAACAATGGTAGTAATAGTAGTCATAATTGTACCCCATTCCCTACTAACCAAAGGTAAGAAGTTGGAGCCGTCGCGAACATCAACTTGCGCAGACTCCAGGAAGCTGCTTCCGTCTTTGCGAGGGTTGAAACTCTTGGTTTAGGGTTTAGGCTTTAGGGTCTTCTACTTACAGGTCGGTGCAGTCGGGCATGTGGCTCTGCACGCAGAAAGCGGAGGCCTTGTTACAACGTGGGTGCCCACACATGAGCAAATCGCATGTGCTGTAACGTCCAAGCAGGCAGAAGTCCAGTTCAGGTATCAGATGCAGTACATGCAGCCAGCCGGGCCTCCCCAAAGACGGAGTATGGGGCAATGATGCAAATGATGCCGATAGTCCTCAAATGTTGCAGCCTCGCTACGGACAGACTTCTCGGAACGTTCAGGCTAAACCCAAGCCCCAACATGTAAAACTCGTTCACAGGGTTTAGACTCGGATGTCTATGTGTGACCCATTGTACGAGGGTGTGCTCGCTTGTCCATTATACTTACCCTGAGTTTGGGTTTAGGTAAGTTTAGGGGCTTTCAAGAATCAGATTTGATTTCCGCTCCGAGCCCTTGAAATCCTTCGCATTGAATCTCGCAGCCCATGGGCAACACCCCCTTGCCTGACGTGCAGCATCCAGTGCTTGTCTTCACCACGACATGCCAGCATCGTTACAGCGTTACAGCAGCTTCAACATTGGGTTGCGGCCCGCCCCCCTGTAAAGACAAAGCAGGCAGAGTAGAACGCTGAAACACATCTGAGTGCCCAAGCCTCCAACAAGCCAGCAGTATTTTAGCAAGCACCTCAAGATGTACCGGACCCAGCACAGAAACTGAAGCCAACAAGTTCTCGTACACGGAACTGCTACAAGAAGATCCCTGAGCCATGTCGCTCCCCAAACGGATCAATGCGAAGGCCTGGCCGCTGTTTCTGCTAGCGAAGTGCCGCTGCAACACACTCTGATGCGTGAGCGGGCTTTTAATCACAAAGTACTCGTTGAGCTTTAGATTTCAGATGCTGTTTCTTGCTATGGTTCAAAGAGTATTCCGCAGTTCAGGGGTATTGGGTGCTCGAGGTTTACGGTGTTGAGCAAGTTTGATTCTGAGTTCTCACTTCTATGTCTCGGCAAGCCGGCTTTTCGGCACACTACCTCTCTAAAAGTGCCTTGCGCGAGCTATTTCCAAGAAGCTGCTCATTGACTTCTTACGGGTACCAGGACTGTCAGTTCCATGTGTCGGCCGAAACCCTACAAGACTGTTTGGGGTTCAGGGTCATTGAATAGCAGGTTATAAGCCCTGGCATAGTAGCCGAAGGTAGTCACTGGTTGCTAGAACCCTCAACCCCAAAACTGGCAGAACTCCTCACAACCGAATCCCTTTGTTATTGAAGGTCTTGAGCGCGAACTCTCCGAACTCTATACAGCCGTTATCCCAACATAGGATAGTGTTTGGTACCTTAAACTTGGACCCGAAGCAGTATAGAACTTTCGGAGGTCATCGTCGCTGGCCCAGCAGCGACGGGCAAGACGTGCCTCATTGAAAGATTTGCCGGGTTCCCAGTCGGGTTGACAGGGCTAAACCTAAGCCCTAAAGAAAAAGCCAGAAAGTTGGAATATGATTATCCTAACCCTTCTATGGTAAATTATAGGGTATCCTACCCTGAAACCATATTCCAACTTTCTGGAGTTCCCTTTAAGCCCTAAGCCAACAACCTTGAACCCTAAGCCTGCATGCTCAGCCGAGACCTTAAACCTCCAAAAGCCCTAAACCCTAAACCCCTAAGCCCCTGAACCCCTAGACCCTAAACCCTAAACCCCTAGACCCTAAACCCTAAACCCCTAAACCCTAAACAATTACTTCGAAGCCAAGCCCGAAACTATCTAGAGCCCTGCTCAACTTTGCAAGTTCATGGGTCGAATAACTCCTTTTTAGTTACATGGGAGTTTCCGAAAATGGGGGACCCCAATATAGCACCCTAAATAATAGTAGGATCCTTATTATAAGGACCCCAAAATAAGGTACCCCCTAATTTTCGGAAACTCCCACATGGCTTTACGAAACCTGACCTGACTGTATCTTGCTTGCAAACCCTAAACCCTACAGGCCCTACAGTAAACCCTGAACCTTAAATCCTTCTTAGGGTTTAGGGTTTTGGGTTTAGGGTTTAGGGTTTAGGGTTTAGGGTTTAGGGAAGTCTTATAGCAGACCAAACCCCAAAGCCTTCGCCTAAATTTTATACTTAAGTTAGATCTCGGAAAGGAACTCTAAACACGCCCCCTGAGCTCGGAAGCCTTGGCAAGCCCCATAGAACACGTTTTTTCATGTCCCCTAATTCACACAAGTGCTACGTCTGTCCCTGAAACCCTTGGCCCCAAAGCCCCCTGAGCCCTGATTCGTCCCATGGGAAGCTCTAGTAGGAAGCCATGTTAGGGATTAGGGTTGGGGTTTTAGGAGTTTAGGTTTTGGGGTTTAGGTTTTAGGGGTTAGGTTTTGGGGTTTAGGGTTGTCGCTGAGAGGCTCCGGGTACGCGAAGATTAGGGTTCGAAAGCTCCGAAAAGTGAGCTTACGGATTGAGCATTGGGACGAGAAGGGAAATAAGAAGCCCGCGCCGAATAATACAAACCCTATAGTCTAAACCACCTAAACATGCATCCCCTTCCACTCAAAGCCGCGATAAACCCTATGCACTCCTTGCCAGACAAGAACCTTCGTACAGAACCTCTCTAGATCTCACAACATGCTTCCAACATCTCCAAACCCTAAACCCCGAAGCCCAGACCCCGACGCCCCCAAAACTCACCAAAACCCCCAAAAGCCCTCCAACCCTAAGCCCTAAACCCTAAACCCCCCCTAGAACAGCCACCCCCGTGAGGTGAACAACGTCTTTGCCGCCGATGACGCGACGCACGGGCCGACCTTAGGTTGCGATTGCCTTCAGAAGTCGGCCACTGGGCTTGAAGCTAAGCTACAAGGGATCTATAAGGGTTCCTTTGAGGGTTCCTAAAAGGGATCTAGAGGGTAGATTTTAGGGCTTGTTGCCTGCAGAAGTCGGCCACTGGGCTTGAAGCTAAGCTACCATAGGGCCTGAACAATTTCTAATTACCAGTAGGTTCCTTTGCAAATATCTATGAGGTTCCTTAAATGCAGTCGGCCGCTGGGCTTTCAGGGCTTAGAGTTTTGGGTCCAGGGTTTTGGGCTTACGGTTTAAAGTTTAGGGTTTTGGGTTTAGGGTTTAGGGATTCTTGTACTTCTCGCCTTCAGAAGTCGACGACTGGGCAACACAACACTGGGGGTTTTGTAGGGTTCAGCGTCTTAGGGTTTAGGGTTGACGGTTGAGGGTTTAGGGAATTCAAGGCTTTAGGGGTTTGAGGGTTCAGGGTTCGTGGCTCAATGTTTAGCTAGCTATCGGATTCAGAAGCGCGCTGGGCTCAAAACTGCAGGGTTTTGTGTAGGGACTTTGGGATTTTGGGGTTTAGTGTTGACGCTGTAGTTTTTATGTTTCTGAGTTTTGGGTTGATAGGTGTAGTGAGTTATAGATTTGGGGTATCGGGTCTAGGATCTACTACTGCACACTACTTGTCTTTACGAAAAAATGTGTGAAGCCGGCCTGAAAGGAACCCTAAACCGTTATAGACAGCCTTAGCGGAGCCCTTGAAGGATCCTCGAAACCCCAAGCCCAAACGCCCCTAAAGCCTAAACCCCCAAAACCCTAAAACCCTAAACCCTAAACCCCAAACCCGAAAACCTTTCTGAAAGGGGGCAATGTTGTCAGGCAGTAGCCTTCCTCAATGAGGATTCTGCCGACCTTAACTGCTAGGCGGAAAAAGGTGCTCAAAAAAAAAAAACCCGAAAACCCCAAACCCCAAAACCCTAAACCCCCAAACCCTAAACCCCAAACCCTTAACCCAAACACTCCTACACCCGAAATTGTGAAGTCGGCAGCTTCTCGAGCATCTAGTGCTCCCGGCTTTTGAGTTGCGGATGTACGGTTTGAGGGTGTAGGGGTCTAGGGGTTTAGGGCTTTAGGGCCTAGGGGTCTAGAAGTTTAGGGGTAAACCCTAAACCTTAAACCCTAAACCCTAAACCCTAAACCCTAAGGCTTTAAGGGTTGTAGGGTCCAGAAAATTAGGGGGTTTAGGGTTTTGGGTCCAGTGTGCGGCAGATCACTGGTTAAAGGGTGCATTGCTGGCCCTACTTAAAGGGTCATGAGACTTAGAAACTAGGGTTCTAATTAAGGGAACTATATACTTATAATTGCTTATAACCCCAATTAAAGTACTTATAACCTTACTTACTAAGTCCCATGATCCTCCAAGTAAACCCTGAGCCCCTGCCGGGGGTTTGAGGTTTTGGGTTGAGCGTTCAAGGTCTAAACCCTTAACCCATCGTTTTCTGTTGCAAGAAGGTCTCTGGGCTCTCTTGTACCATTCTTTTTCCAGAAGGATCCTACCGAGTTTTACCCTTCTGAAACGTGGTGCTTTGTGTTTCCCCACTAGTTTTGAGCACCAGATTCACTCGTTAGAATAGGGCTTCGAGTCTTCAGTTTGTTAGGGGTGTTGTTGAACTTTGCAGAGCCAGATTTGGCCTCAATAAGGGTCTGAATCACTGCCTATTGTAGGTAAAGTATATGCCCCAAGACCCTGTTTTGATCACTCAAAACCTAAGCCCTAAATCCTAAACCCTTTATTCAGGTCCCCCCTAAACCCTAAACCCCTAAATCCGTATAAACCCTAAACCCTTAAACCCGAAACCCTAAACCTTAAACCCCTAAACATGTACCCACCCCCTTCCGTTCCGGATTTGGTAGCAAGACTCACATTCCTTGGTTTCTGCTGAACTCAGGTTTTCATCGAGGACACGGAGGTGCTCTGCCGTTTTGTGCTTGTGTAAGGGTATCGGGCGTAAAAAAGCTCCTAGTAGTAGAGTAGGCGACCTTTAACCTTTTTTGGGTAGTATAGTCCCTATAGAACTGCTGATGGACAAAATCCTGCATTACCCGCTAGAAGGAATATACCATAGTTCCCATAGTTAAGAGTCCTTAAGGTCATGCAGGATTTTGTCCATCAGCCGAATCACTATAGAACCAAAAAGGTTAACCTTTAGTTCCCATGATACTCGACAAGTAGGAGATCCATGTTGCAGAGTTTGTGGAGGTTTCGGTGTGTGCAGGGCTTGGGGAGTGCAGGCTGGGGTTCCAGTGTCCAATTTGGTGGGTTTAGGCACAAGGCTCTACTTCCTTTCGGTTGTGCAACTGTGACATGGAGCTCACCGGAATCCGAGTCTGATTATTGAACAAACCTTGCGGTACGCACTCCCCTCTATAGTCCTTGTATAGTTATAGCCATGGCGACTGAGGGTTCAGGGTTGTATACTTATGCTGTAGTAACATGCCGTCCTATAAAACTCTGAGCCGTAAGTCCTGAACCCCCAACCCTAAACCCTACACCCTGAACCCTAAACCCTTCTAAAACCTTGACCCCCGAACCTTAAACCCTGCGCTCTAAACTCTTCCAGAAGCTCAATCAGTCCAGGTGCATCTTTTCCTGTATGACACAGCCGGCCAAGAGCGATTTGCAGACATGGCGGCGAGCTACTACCGTGTAGCGGAGGCGGTGCTGATGCATGGGTAGCTTTCTAAATTCAAGTCTCGTTTTAGGTGCCCAAAACAGTAGGTGGTCTTTCGCGTATACGTGGTCTTCTATATGGGCTTCCACATGGTGTGTAGCAGTTTTATTGGGATACATTCATACAGGATCAGGGGACGCAGTAAGTACACGTACAAAGAGGATATCCCAAGTTACTGTACATTGACATGTCCAGTTTTGAACCTGCTTACCCCGGCCCTAAATGCTGCTAAACCATGCTAGCCCTTTACAGTAGAAACCAGAAAGTTGGAACATCATTGGCCTCGCGCCCTGAAAGCAAAGTATAAGGAATCCCAGCATGAATCATCCTAAATCTATGTTCCAACTTTCTGGGGTTCACTATAAATGCAGACCCCGAGAAGGCCTTTAACCCCACTTACGAAGGCCAGGCTTCGGTGTGAGGCTTCTGTACTTTGGGGATCGGGGGACTTAGTAAGTAGTTAGTAAGTAGACTTATAAGCACCCCAAAAGGGACCCTAATTGGGGTTAAAGTACTTATAAGTCACTAAAAGCCAGTTACTAAGTCCCCCGACCCTCCAAGTAGGGGTTCGGGGGATAATGTAAAGGTTTGAATCACTGATGATCGTATCCGTCTGTAGCCCCGGCATCATCTGATCTTTTCATAGACACAGAAAGGCCCTATAACTGGCTTTTATTGCACTCCGAAGGTTTGCTGTTCAGGGTTCGAAAAGTGTATGCGTTTTGTAAGATGGCTTACGGTTATGGTAGCAAGAGTTTAGTCCGAGGTTCGGGGTTCTCAAAGCAGTGAGACTTCGACCAAAGAGTTAAGGGCTCACGCGTAAGACCTTAGCATCGGGGATTAGAGTTTTCTTTGAGCAGGCAGGCTTCCAAGTATGTTGTATTCATTGGGGTCTTAAACCTCAACCTGTGCACCTTGAATTTAGGAGCCGGCTCATTGATAGAAGTGGCCAGCCCTAGCCTCTTGTAAGTCTCTGTGGGTTTTCATGCGGGCTTTGTAAGGTTTCCACAAGGGTTCTGCAAGGGTTCTATAAGGTCTCTATAAGGATTGTTCAGGGTTTTACAAGGCATAAGAACTGGAGAAAAACTTTGTACGATTTTTGCTACGGCATTAGGAAAAAGCAGCTCAGTGGGGCGTTGACCCTACCGTGCGCCTGTAGCCCAAACCCCTTTTGAGAACCGCTGAGGAACCAGAAAGCCTAAACCCTAAACCCTAAAACCCTACTTCGTAAAACCCCATATAAACCCACCTCTGCCAGGTTTGCCTTCTCTGCTTTGACATGTCCGACGTGTCAACCTTCGATCGGACGCAGTTTTGGATGAAGAGGGTCACCGATCTTCAGCCGCATTTGGGGTTGTTGGAAGGCTCATCGAAGGGTTTAGGGTTTAGGGAGGCTTGGGGGATTGGGATATTGTTAATTCGGTCAATTTTCACACTATGTTCAGAAACCAGAAGAAGGAATAGCATTGCCAGCATGTTTATAAGCGCCTTGATTGGGCTTGTAAATATCCATTTACAACCTAGTTACACACATGGGTGGTTGTCAAAATTATGGCATCTTTTTGGGTACCCTAAATAATAGGTGCCGTATTATCCCGAACTATAATTAAGCCACTTGCTGAGCCTTTTGATGCTTTCAGCAGGCATCACTTCCTCTGCCCCAGGCTCCCACAAGTGCAATCAGGTTCCTTTTCCATGGGCCAAATATGCGAGATTCGCAAGCTTCCAAAATTACGGTCCCTTTTTGGGTACCCTAAATATTAGGTGCCGTACTATATTAGGGACCCAAAAACGGACCATAGTATTGACAACACTTTCACATGCTCAGGATCACAATCCGAAGTGCCTTTTCATTCTAGTTGGCACCAAAGAGGACCTCCTGACGCAGGCGCCGGTAATTCTTCGTTGGGGTGTCTTAGAGTTATTTTAGTTTTGGGTGTTCCAGGATTTAGCCAACCCCTAAACCCAGAACCGTCGTTCTAGGCTTTGGACATCAGTCTAGGGTAGGGGGTTTAGCAGAGGGCTCGGGCAGGGTTTAGGGTTTGGGGTTTGGCAGGGTTTAGCATGGTCTAGGGATTGGGGTTACCAATATTCTTCCGTAGGCTTCCTTATTCGAACTTTACTAGAACAAATCCTCCAACTCCGATCCTAATCATTACGCCCCCTCTATGAGGCCTCTAAACCCCAAAAGCAGCAGTCGCAAAGTTTCGTTGCTGAGGGTGTCAGGGTTTCACTAGGTAGGCCTTTGGGACATTTTATATTTTTCCTGGTTGGGCTTAACCGGACCCTATTTACGAACATATTTCAGACGCTTTCAAGGGCCAGCCTAATTAAGGTTTAGGTTTTTTGTTTGGGGTTTAGGGGTTTAGGTTAGCAGGCTTCAGGTTGCAATATCCCCAGAGAGCGCAATACCCTTTGATTAAGGAATATATACCTCAACTAATAGGGGCCTTAATATTATGATCTAGATCCGGGGTATGTCCCTTAATGAATGGGTATTGGGATCTCCAGGTTAGGGCCCTAGATATTTGGTGGGTTCCCTGTTATAATTCCAATATAGTGGGCACCAAAACCCTATTCTAATCATTAAGGCCCTTATATTATGTTAGTTTGCTGGACTTTGGGCTTTTGGGGCTTGGTGCTTAGGGCGCAAGATTTTGGGGTTTAGGGTTGTGGGGTTTAGGGTCCAGGGTTTAGGGTTTAGGGTTGAGGATTTAGGGATGAGGGTTGTAGGGTTGAGGGTTTAGCGTTTAGGGTGAGCAGACAAGAATGAGATGCTCATGCTAAACCTTCTCAGTATGGGTTTGTGGCTTTTTGACTTCTGTGCTTAGTAACATGAAACTTCCGGGCTTCGAAGTGATGAGTGGTAGATCGTGAGCTCTGAACAAGACACCCTAAACTCTAAAATGGCAAAAGTCCAGCAAAGTTCTTTCACGAGTTGCTGTTTGCACGGGATGTTTGTCTGGGCATGCGGCATGGGCTAACTGATTCTGCCGATGCAGGTACAAGGACAAGCTCCATGAAGTGCGTGCTGATTTTCACATCCTGGAGACCAGCCGCAGCATTTTGTCCTACGACGATTGGGATGGGTGGCCGCTGTACATACAATGGGATGAGTGGCCGCTGTTCATGCAAAGCAAGAATAACTCATAACTCGGGCAAATTTGCGATCGGCTCACTAGCGTGGGTAGCCAGAGCAATCCGACCCGACTTGGGGCCAACGCGCTCCAACAGCAGGTGGTTAAAGCCACGGTCGAGACCCTCCGCGAAGCCAACAGGGTCGTTGCGCTTGCACTGAATGTTTCGGTTTTAGGGGTTGGGGTTAGGGGTTTAGGGTGTAGGGTTTAATGATGCTGAGCGCTGCCTGCATTACCTATGAGGCTAAGCCCTGGAGGGCGGAAGCGAGAGACAGCGCCTCCCGGTGAATGTTTTAAGGTTTAGGGTTAGGGTTGAGGGCTTAGGGCTTGAGGTTTAGGGCTAGGGTTTAGGGCTCAGGGCTTAGGGTTTAGGGTTTAGGGCTTAGGGTTTAGTTTTACAGTTAAGGTTTAGGGCTCAAGGTGGAGGTTTGCTTTATAGGTTCAGCGCTTTATCTTTTACTTTCAACTGGACGCCTGGCAGATGGCAACTCGTTTTCCGGATGCCCCCGAAGTAATTAAGCAAGGATAGAGAGTCCTACGGTTGATGATACAAATCCTGCATTACCCTTAATAAGGAATATACCATAGTTCCCATAGTTTAGGGTCCTTAAGGTAATGCAGGATTTATATCATCAACAGTAGCACATCCCAGCACCGTCATTTGCATGTTCTGTTCTATCGTTCCAGGCTTCACTGCATGCCTTAACACACGACATACACACATGGTCCACCAAGAGACTCGACTCTAGCATCCTTGGATCAAAACTACAGGGCGAAATCCTGTATTCTTTAATTCGGAATTAGTCGTTACTCATGTAAGGCGCTTGTAGCACCATTCTGAAGCACGCAAAACCTTCCGAAATCCGACAAAACTTCGATTCTGTGTGTAATCCTGTTTCAAAGGCTGTTCTTGAACCCCTGAACCCTAAGCCCTAAACTCCAGTCCTAAAAAGGCAATGAACAAATTCTTTTGGAGTCTCTAATATCGATATATTTGGACCTTAAATAGTAGCCTTATTATATAAACCTTAAACCCTAAACCCTGAGCCCTAAGCTCTTTTTGGAGTCTCTGGGCCAGGAGCAGTCGGGATCCATGGAGCCCATCTCCCATTGGGCGGAGGAGGAACGGAGAGGGGAAGCCGGGGCTGGTTTGGGGGTTTAGGGTTTTTTAGGGGTTTTTGGGTTTAGGGGCTTTAGGGCCTTTAGGGGTTAGGTTTTTTTGATTTAGTTTGGGGTTTAGGGGCTTAGGCTTTAGGGGTTTAGGGTCTAGGGGTTTAGAGTTGAGGGGGTTTAGGGTTTGGGGTTTAGGTGGTGCTGGCCGGGGTCGTCGAAACAAATATTCTGGCCCGGCAAAGCTCCCAGAGAGAGGGAGTGCGCCCGGGATTGGAGGGATTTTCAATTCGGAAAAATGGCGATGCAAGTTATCCGCCGTTCCGTCGTTCTGGATTATCACTGCTTGCACTTTGATGTATGCACTTCATGCACTGCTACCTTTGTTACGAGCACAATCCCTGTGCTATTCCTGTTGCTAGTACGGCCGCGTGTCTTCCCTGGGGCCTAGAAGCCTTAAGCCCTATGCTCTAGAGACCCTAAACCCTCAACCCCAAGCCCTTCGAACTAAGCCTTCAACCCGAAGCCAACCCGACTACCCTCTAATACACACCAAATACCCACTATGAAGGGCCGTCAAGGCTCTATTACAGGGTCCTGGCTCTAATCCTATACCCTAAACCCCTAAACCCTTAAACCGCTAAGCTCTATTAAAGGGCCCCTGGGGGGTCCTGGCTCCAGGCCGGCATTCCGTTCTTCCCGACCAGCGCCCTGAAAGGTGGGGAGCACATCAGGCGCATCTTTGGGTTTAAAAGGTTTAGGGTTTTACAGTGTGTAAAGGGCTTAAAGGGTTTATTAAGGGGTTTTAAAGGGTCTAAAGGGTTTAAAGGGTTTGAAGGGTTTGAAGGGGTTAGGGTTCAAGGTTTAGGGCTTAGAAGGTTTAAGGTTTAGGGCTAGGGCTCAGGGTTTAAAGTGTTGAGAGTTTAGGGTTCAGGTTTTGGGTTTGGCTTGTGTTGTAGAGGGGTAGTTAGCAGGGGCCTCAACAGGAGGGATGAAGCTAGAGCGGATTGAGGATGCCTTGTACAAGGACGCTTGGTTCGGGATCACCCCACCTACGTCAGGCTCATGGTTAGACAAAGTGGCGCTATAAGTAGGGTAACCATCAATGTAGCCCGTAGTCGTAGGGACATAACCCCACTTATAACTACCCACCCTAAACCCTGAACCCTAAACCCTAAACCCCCATAGATCCCGTTAAAGGGACCCTAGGGTACATTCCTTAATTCAGGGGCCCCTTGAACCCTCAGTACCTGCATCACGGTGTCAGGATTTGGGGGTTTGAGTCTAAGGTTTCAGGGTGTCGGGTTTAATGGTTCGGGATTTAGGCTTAGAGTCTGGGGTTAAGGGTTCAGGATTTACCACTGACTGGCTGTTTTTGGGTTGAGGTGGGGAAGGGGCGCCCTTAGGAGCTAAAACAGAGGTCAGGGGTTTCGGAAGTCAAGGTTCCAAGGGTCGGGCTATTGATGCGCTTCCACACACCAAGACTCAGCGGCGTCACTGCAACCCTTCGACGCTGCGAGATGGTTTTCAAGAATGGCTGAAATCCAAAGATGGGCGTGCCTGGAGGGCTGACAGAGCTGAAGTGTGGGGCACTCGTTTGTTGACGTCGGAAGGTCGGATAGGAAAGCCTTCCAAGCCTGCTGATAGCAAAGCAGCTCCTACTTGGAGGGTCGGGGAACTTAGTAGCTGGTTATTTTGGGGACTTATAAGTACCATAACCCAAATCAGGGTCCCTTTTCGGGTACTTATAAGTCTACTTTCTAACTACTTACTAAGGCCCTCGACCCCCCAAGTACCGGGCAGAAAGAGAAGGCTTCTGCCTCGTCTGGTCCAGTCGTCGCTGTCGAGACGGCATCAGCCTTGAAATCTACATGGGTAGCTGTCAAAATTAAGGTCCCTTTTTGGGTGCCCTAAATAGTAGGTGCCGTACTATAATCGGGACCCCAAAAGTGGCCTTAATTTTGACGTAGAGACGGGCTGAGAAGGCTTCTGCTTGGTTCTTGAACGAAGTTGTCCAGTACCCAACATTTACGTAAACTCCGTTTGTGTGCTTACAACTTTGATTTGGGAGGAGAGGCTCTTTGAGTGTCTTGAGTTAAAGCCTTAAAAAACCCTATTGAAGCTAAAGCCCTAAGCCTGACACCACTAGACTGTAAACCCTAATGCGCTACACCCCTAAACTTCCGAAGCACCACACAGTTAAAGCCTAAACCCTGAAAGCCTCTACCTACACCATACACGCCTCAACCCTAAACCCCAAAACTGCATTATAACTTAGCCCTAAAACCCAAGACAAAACCTCATCTGATATAAAGCATGCTCTTTTATGCCTGGTACCATAGGGCCCGGGCATATTAGTGTCTTAAAAATTTGAATAGGGTTCCTCTTAAAGGGTATTGTAAGGGATCTATAAGGGTACCATACCATAGTATAGGGGCCTAAATAACTTTATCCAGTTATTCGGTATACAAACATATATATATATATATATATATTACAGTGTACCAAAAATCCACGCTCGAATTATTGCAGACCCTTTCTGGATCCTAATGATGACCCTCCTAGACACCCTTTTAAAGATCCGTTTACAGGAAGCCTGAAGGGAGCCGTCTTCTAGCCCTCCAAAGAAAGAACTACCAAGACCTGCTTTTTTTGTGGGTTCCCTATAAAATCTGTGTTAGGTTTGTAAACAGAACCCTAAACCCTAAACCCAAAAAGCAACAAAAAACACCCTACAAGCCTAAACCCTGAACCCTAAAAAGCTTAAATATGCTAGTTTAAGGTATAAGTGTAAGCTCTCTCTGAAGTCGCGAGGTTCCTGTTCCACACGGTCGCCGAGAAGTGCATTCGGCCTGAGCCTCCGATCTGGAGGTCCTAAACCCCTAAACTATGGCGGGCTCCCTTATTATTGGGATCTATAAGGGTTCTTTTGACGGTTCCTTTAAGGGCTCCTTTAGGGTTTCCTTTACGGGTGCTTATTGTATTCCAGCATGCAGATCCTGATGCAGACGTGGTCTGTTGAATAAAGGCCTTGGGGCCAAGAGGCCTTGCAGAAGCTTTAGGCACTTCTAGTGTTTAGGGATTAGGGTTTAGGGATTCGGAGTTTAGGGATTAGGCTTTAGGGTATTTTTAGCTGTGTAGGTTGTGGATTTTTGTCGAGGAGCTCAGGGCTGGCACCAGTGAAGGTGGAGACCCTTGATTAGCAGCCTCCGGATCCCTTACTAAGGGTTATCACAGGGATCCCGATTTCAAGCTCCTCAGGTTACAGGGTTGCTTCATCAGCGGTCTACATGAAGGTTTCGGCAGTAGCCTTCAGTTGCAGGCTTGCAGGAGCTGGCTTGATGTAAGGTTTTGGGGGGTTCGCAGGTTTACTACAGGGGCCGAAATAATTACCAAGATTTTATTTTTTTTGGTGGGGGGGGGGGGAGGGGGGTCCTTCTTATAACTTTCGAATAATGGGCCCCGAATAAAACAGTATAGTGCTAGTTGCTGACTGGGTTCAGCAGGTTTGGGCTTCTGGGCTCAGTCGGCTTAATACGGGGATGCTTAGAACCTCCACGGGCACCAAGGCCCAAGCAGGTTAAGAGAATAGGGTTTTTGGGTAGATAATTTTACTATAACCATAGTTATGTATACAGGCACCCACAAAATAGCATCGATAATTATCGGGCTTAAGCCGAGGTCAGGACCAACACGAAGCTCTCTGATGACCTTTTCAGGCTCGTAGTCCCGTCATCCTCAAACTTACCGTCCAAAGCGGCAGACCTATCTATACCCAAAGGCCCCAAAGTAGTTCCTTTTTGAGGTTCATATATAGAATCCTATAGGGTAATCCCAAAAAGGAACTAGGCTGAAACCGTCAGCCCTAAAATACCACTGTGAGGTTAAAGCTGAAGTACGAGAGCCAGACGAAGGAGGGAACCAATGGGATCAAGCTCGCGAGCTCCATCGGCCAGCCGAAGGCAATTCTTTTGTGGCTATACATGCCGAGCGTAATACACTTACATTCATATGTGCATAGTGGAAAATGTGTGTGTGTGTGTGTAAATACCATCATACGCATGCATTCCTTCAAATGTACATATATATATATATATATGCGCCGTATACTATACATTACATACATACGCACATAAGCACTGCTTGCTTCGTGCGGTCTCTAGCTCTTCTAACATTTACCCCAACATATGGAATGCACGTTGCTTTTTTCATTTTCCTCTAGTCCTTTACAGCCTTTTTGGGGTACTTAGGGCTTGTCTGTGCCAGGCTCTCTGGATACCTGAATCCTGTGTCCTAAACTTCTCTGAGCTGCTGCACAACTCCAAGAGTTTTATGTAGGATTCAGGGTTTAGGGGTGTTTGGGGTTGAGCTTTGGATACCTCAGACAAGCCGCTGTACAGGCCGGCTGCTGCACCTGAGGCTCGCAACCGGGTTTGGGGGCTATGGAATTCAAAGTCTATAGGGTCGGCTTTCAAAGTTCACGTCGTCTCGGGGTTTCGCACTCATGGGGCGCGGGGCTCCTCAAGCCTGAAATTGATTGCTTGCGTGTTTTTTCTCTCATTCTCCCAAACAGCAGCAAGAAGAAAGTTTGGCCTAACGCGAAAGTCTTTTTGGGAGGCCTTGCATCGCTGCTAGGCCGACCTGAATCTTCCGTTCAGTGTTTCCGGTTTCAGAAACTCCACAGAAACTCCAAACCTGCAACTACCCACAGGCGCCATAGTAGTTCCTTTTTTCGGATTACCCTATAGGTTTCTACATATGAGCCACCCCCAAAAGGAACTAGCACGGGGGCCTAGGGGTATGTGAGACAATCCTGAAGACCATCCTGTGAAAGAGCTGCCTGGACAGCTCCGGTCCAAGACTCGCCAAATGTAGGGGCCTTAATACTTACTTGAGGGGTCGGGGGACTTAGTAAGTAATTAGTAAGTAGACTTATAAGTACCCCAAAAGGGACCCTAATTGGGGTTATGGTACTTATAAGTCCCTAAAATAGCCAGTTACTAAGTCCCCCGACCCTCCAAGTACTATAGGGGATCTATAGTTCATGACGTTTTGGTTCCATAGCCTTTTATATACCTTACGGGATACTTGCGACCCCTCTCTAGTTCAAGGTCTTGCTTCTTGAAGAGGTATTGAGCGGGTTTTGTATTGCCAGAGACACGACTTGGTTCCACATGTATCGCCATGGTGGTGCTATGCTATAAACAGCGTTGGAGCGCCTGGGCTTAGTTTCGCGACAGCAATACACTCAAAGAGTCGGAGGCTTCAAAAGGTGGGATGAAGGTAGGTAGGACTAAGGTTCCCTTATACAAGCAGTCTCTTTTTGGGATTACCTCACGACCTACTTTCATCCCACCTTTTGAGGACCCTCAAACAGCCTTACCTTTGCTATTTTGGGGGGCTCCTTATTAAAACTAAAGCAGAATATACCCCAAAACGGCATTCTGACGATTTCGGCTCTATATCACCTTCAAAGAGCCTTGTAGTCTTGCTTGTCCTGTTATATAGTATCCTAAATGGTAGGATCCTGAGAATAAGGAGCCCAAACTAATGTACCCCTTCACTTTCGGAAACTCTGAACCTTATACAGCCCCTTGAAGGAACCCTTAAAGTACCCTTATAGCAACCCTTTAAAGGATCCCAACATAAGGTACCGTAACCCGTCATTTTCGGAAACTCCTTTGTCCGCGCCTTTCCTGTCGAGGCTCCTTGGTCGTCGCAAGGCCTTTCGTTTCACTGTGCCAAACAGCTCTCTCCCATAGCATCGTGCCAATCCTGAGGTGGTTTGCGAATTAATGTGTAAAGCTTCCTACCTCAAGAGTTAAAGAAGATGACGAGAAACATATTCAGTTAACACTTACCGGGTTGTTGTAGTGTGAATTTTGGGCTGCTGCATGTTCCACACTCTGATCTCTGCACCTCACATCCAGACCCTAGTGCCTTGCACCTTCGAAAGCACGGCCGGGCTTGATTGACATCAAGCTTGCGCGACCCGTGGGTATGTGTCAGGTTATGAGGAAGTCAAGACTGTTTTGCGACCAAAAAATTTGGAGCAGGGATTCATTTTCTCCAAAGTCGTAGCCGGAGACATTTTGACAGGCGTGTCTTGCTTGTGGAAATGCTGACTCTTGATATGTTACTTGCAGCAAACCCCAAGCCCTAAACCGCTAGAACCCTAAACTCCTCAACCCATAACCCCACAAGTCAAAGGCTGTTCTGGTAAGTGGAGGGCCATGGAAGTGGTGAGGGTGGACTTCTAACTTCAATACGCCTTAAATATAGGAAACCCCAAAATGAGATGAGCATAGATATCCTTACCTTATTGGGCGTCATTGTACTAAACGCAATCCAACCGGTTTAGGGTTTGGGGTGTAGACTGTAGGGTTTGGGGTTTAGGGCCTCCTCTCCCCTGCCAACCTGACTCCACAATCGAAAGCAAACACACCCCAAAACCCAAAAGAATTCGAATGCCACGTGAAACCTCCCTGAAACCCAAAAGCCCCATAGCCCCCTACATCCCAAGCTGCCACAGAGCTTTGGAGTTCACTCTGCAGCTGCAATAAGCTGCCCCTCTGAAGGGAAGATGCGAGGAAGGACATTGGGTCGGGGCGTGGGGTTGTTGGATGTTCCCAGAAAACCCCAAAACCCCTTAATTAAGGAATAGATTTTAGATAATAGGGGCCTTAACATGATGATTCAAGGTATATTCCTTAATTAAGGGGTATTGGGATCTCTGGGTTGGGGATGTTTAGGGTCTACTTGGGGGGTCGGGGGACTTAGTAACTGGTTATTTTAGGGACTTATAAGCACCATAACCCCAAATAGGGTCCCTTTTAGGGTACTTGTAAGCCTACTTACTAACTACTTACTAAGTCCCCCGACCCCTAAACCCTATACTACCCTTATAGAGCCCCTTAAAGGAACCCTTAGAATCCCCTTTAAAGGAGCCCTTACTAAGTCCCCCGACCCCTAAACCCTAGGATGTAGGGGTTTAGGGTTTTGGGGATTTAGGCTCAGGAGCCCTGAGATGAGGGGGTGGGGAGCCGGTGGTTTAGTCATACTGCTGATGGACCAAATCCTGGGGGCTCCTGTAAAGGGATCTATAAGGGTACCTTTAAGGGATCTATAGGGTTTTAGGGTTTAGGGCTTAGGGTGATGATATAAATCCTGCATGACTCTAAGGACTCTAAACTATGGGAACTATGGTATATTCCTTATAAAGGGTAATGCAGGATTTTGTAGTGCGGGGTTGGGAAGTTTAGGGCGTGTATACCCAAAGGCCCAAAAGTAGTTCCTTTTTGGGGTTCGTATATAGAACCCTCTAGTTCCCAAAAAGGAGCTATGGGGCCTCTGTATCCAGTGCGCGGTGGGTGCTCCTCTTCAGGGATGGAGTGCATGCCCACTTGTCGCGCGCTTGTGTCAGCATGTAGTTCGGCCCCGTTTAGGGTTCACCCCCGCAACCCCCTCGAGGGGGTCTTGCTCCCTGCTTCCTTTCGCAGTTCTACATAAATCGACCAAATGTCATGAAGGGTCGTTCGAAGTGTAAACATCTACACAAGGCCGGCCTCTTCGCGTGAGGGTTAGACCTCACTTTTACGGGCTAACGTCCGTATTGTGTGAGGCGTAGCTGAGTCATTTCCGTCCGCATATACAGGGAGGCTCTACCTTCCCTCGCCGTTCTCGAGTGCCCATGCAATGGTCGGCGCTCGCGGCGGTTTCGGTCGGTGCCGATTGGTCCGTGCATGGATGGTTGTTGTGTAGTGCACGCTTGCGTGGTGCACGCTCATTGTTGGCACACGGGTCACGTTGAGAAAGCACGCGGCACCCAAGTCCGCATTCGTGAAGCTGAAAAGAGTTGAAGTCAACAATCCGACACTCAGGGTGGAATACAAAATAGTACCTTGTGTAAAGATTAACAGCATGCAGCATGTAAATTACCTCAAATGCTTCAAGCACACACGGGTATGTCTCCCCTCTAGAATTTCGGTGGCTTCTGTTCCAACTATGAATAGTAAAATGGGGTGTTGGGGCATGCTATAGCTGGTTTAGGGTTTGGCGTTTAGGGCAATCTATCCGGAGGGTTTCAGCGGGGTTCATTGATGCATACCCACATGGCAGGCTGCATTTTCCATCTGCCCTCAGCGTTGAATTTGAGCTCCGCTTGATGCTCTGGGCTTCGTCGTTCTCGGCTGCCAGAGCGTACCGTGCATGTCCGCAAGCGACTACAGCTAGACCTAAGCCCGACGCCTAAGCCCGGTTGCCTAATATAGCGCTTTGATAAATCGAAGTGGGTTTTGGGGTGGGTACATTATACCATATTTAATTGGTTATGATGACCCTCATCGGAATCGTCAACTTGGGGAACAAGCTTTCGGTTTTTCGGGGGTACACCCCAGCCCACCTATGAGATCCAAAGATGAACCCAGCACAATAGGATACAGAGTATCTCGACCCTTGAAGTACCCTTACCGTTGGGAAACATTTGTTGGGCGTAGCCCTCCAAGCCTGTAAGAAGCACAACAACACCTTTACGGCACTGTGTAGACCTTTGCAAACCCACGTAAAACAGCAAGATCTATCTTCCAATTAAGGTAGATGATGGCAGAAAATACTTTGATTGATCCCTAAACCCTTAAGGTACTGCAAATTAGGTATCAGTCAGGGTTTAGTATCGACTGTTGAATCAAGGAGTCTTGGAGTCTCTGCGTGTATAGGGCTTCTAGAGTTCTACAGGTATTGACCCCGCATCTCTGGAGCCAGGAACACCAAGCATTGAATTTCCGAAGCTCTAAAACCTTAACTTTAGCATCCAAACCCCGAACCCCCGGGATGTAGCGCAGTGTCCGAGTACAGATGGCCAGCTATCCGGCCTGCCAAACCTGCGCGAAGAAAGCAAACGTCCGGAGCTGATTTGGATGTTCGGGTCTTAGGGCTTTAGGGTTTAGGTTTTAGGGTTTTGGGGTTTAGGGTTTTAGGTTTTAGGGCTTAGGATTTGGCATATTCTGGATTGATGGTTGATTGTTGGTGTTGCTTCGTTCTCCTTAGGGAGTCTTGGTGCCTTTGTGAACTGAGCCGATTGTCATGAAAACAAAAGGCCCCTAAACATAAGACAAGGGCTTAAAGACCTGCCAATACACGATTTCGGGGCTCGTTATAGTAGGATATACTTCAAAATCTTATTCTAATCACTAGGGCCTCCGTACTGTTGTGTTTTGAGGCGCCCTCAAGTCAGCAATTCGCACTAGTTCGTGGGAGTGAGGGGCTTTGGGCGACCCGGCGGGTGACCATTCGGACAAATAACCTGCAGCTCATCCATGTGTTAGAAGCTGCCCCCACCCTGTAATAGTGGTATAATAGGAATATAAGAGGGCCTTAATAATAAATCCTATATAATCCTTATGGTCACTATTACAGGGTG